AAGCTGCTGCAGCTGTTATTAAATCTCTTCAGATTTTTTTTTTTTTTAATTTAGAATACATTAGGCTGCTCCTAGATGTCATAAAGGTTCTACTTGTGTTAGTTCTTGAATTTGCAGGTTATCAGGCTTTGTTGTGGCTGACTATGGCTTTCCAAAATATGCTATTCCTGTCAGTTAATTCATAATAAAACAGAATGGGTGATTTCTTTTTCTTATATAAGGCTACGCTGGTTTGGGTAGCTACCTGGATAGCTGTTTAGTTTAATGCATTTTGAAGAGACCATATAGCTTGATAAAAATTAGTTCAACTAATATTCTTTTTGGCTGTATGGGACTAATCAGATCTATTTTACAGCCAACATTCTTCATTTTAACCTTGTAAATAGTTATGGACTCATTTTTTTCTCAGTATTACAGATGAGCCATGAAGTACTCCCAGGGATACTTGGACCACCAATGTGAGAACTTGGTACCCAGATTGAGTGAAATTCAAGAAGATATAACATGCCTAATAAAAGCAGAAAAAATAAACCAGCCATCCAAGTTTATTTCAAGCCTCTGATATAAAACGAGGACAACTTTATCAAGCTGCATATCTTTTACACATCCTCTCAGGTGGACATAAAGAGATCAGTGCAAAGCAATGCTCGGTGACATTTTAAAGACCCATTTTAGTAAACAGTGATCAATGTCTCACATGCACCTGGAGCTTCAAAGCCTGCTAAGTCTTATTCTGGATGTGAAATACACCACACGCTTGACAACAGCTGTTAATCAGATAATAGAAGAGTCAGATTTGCACAAGCACTTTTGTGGAGAAACATCTATAAATTCTCTGAAATGACAGTGTAGATGGGCGGGAAGAGAATGAAGGTGGGATTTGGTACCAGGCGCCTGCCTTCCCAACACAATGACGCATCTCTGTGGTAAAACACTCCATCAGCCATTTCCCCTTTGCACACTATTTTCAGGCAGCGCATGATCTGATAAATGCAACAAAGTTAAGTTCCCTTTCTGTAAGTGTTAGAAGAAATATGTGACAAGTGGACTTTCAAGGAATTATGACATGGCATGAGGTGTCTCCATAGCCCATGAATCTCCAAATACGCATATTTTCCTGACAGATGAACTGTGAGCAGTGAAGCTGGGGGAATGAAAAACACCCCACAGTATACTTACCATGGGATGAGTCCGCTCACCACCCTAACATATGTAACCTGACTCCATAGTTTTCAGATGACCTCGTGCTTCACTTGCCCTGCTCACCTTAATCACTGAGTGACCTGCCATTGTAACAATACACAGGATCCCCTTTGGTGCAGGCGCCTAACGCATGTTTACTTAGTAGGTATGTGGTGGGGGACAAGTGCCCTCTGACACCAACAATATGTCCATGTTGGACATCTCTTGCTTAGGCTTTCTGTGTTGGTCCACAGAGATGGACTAGAGGTCACTTAAATAACCTCTTCGATAAATCCTTCTTTACATTAATCCATAACATCACAGGGTAATCCTCTAAAAAGGAGACATTTAAGGAAAAAAAGAGACTAAAAGAAGAAGGAAGACTGATTATAAGAATTAGGAGGTTTTTGAAGTAATTTAGAGCAAAGGGGGGGGTTCACTTCTGTTCATTTGCTGAGGTGAGACAGCATTGAAAACATGGTGCATAGATCTGCAATAAAAAGTTGAAAGTTTGCATACCCTCCAGTTAAAGAAAATGCTACATTCACACTAGTCATTCAAATAACAAAAATCTGAAAAGGTAATAATAAATAAAACTTTACTAAATTAAAGTTTAGTCAAATAAAATATTTATGTAGAATTTTTGGAGAAAAAAAAATTATTCTAAAAAATAAACTGTCTCAGGCAAATGAAAGTGCCTTGCTCATGAACAGTGAACCAATATACCTGTTAACAGGTGCAGAAGTCTTACTGGACTTTTCCTGAACATTACAGAAAACAGCTGATTTATGTGATTACCTCAAAGTGTTGCTCAACAAAATCTAAGTTCAGGAGCTCCATCACTTGTTTTATTTATCAATATATACATAATTTACTAACGCCAGGATTTGCAATGGAAGTATTGTTGGGGATTCCTTTGTTGACCATAAACTGAGACACAAACCTCACACCGTTTCAAAGTCAATAGAAGTACTGCATACCTTATAATGCAAGCTAATACATCCATATCTGTCTCATTGTGCTGTAGTCTGGTATCACATATAAAACTTTGCAACTTCACATATAAAAACTTACAATTGATCTACACTCTGCAAAAAGTGTGAAGAGTAATTCATATGAAACTTTTCTTGATCAAACCCATCCTTTGTGTCTGAAATCATACATCCTAAAACTTGAAGGTTTAGTACAAGTTAAAACAACGCAGCGGATTTTCAAATTTATGAGAAATAAAGAAGAATACCAAAAAATATAAAGAATCTTTCCCCTGAACAAAGTCGAGGGTTATTCTTTAAGAGGGAACTGATACTACAACTGTTTGCTAATACTACTCCTAAAAGCAGAACTGCTTCAGTTCAAATATGAAAATGGTCTTTACCCCCATTTAAAAGAATATGCAATCGGCAAAAAATGTATTGCAGACTTAAAAGATCACTTAATGGGTACATATAATGAATTGGATAAATTTGTTGATTTCATCATAGGTGACTACTTAGCGTTTTTTTTTGTTTTTCATCAAAATATGATGGACTCTGGGACAGACTGCCTGTCTCCCCATGAATAGCTGCATCCTCATTGTTTGGATTTATAGGTGCCAAGTAAATTTGTGCAAATACATAGCTACTATGCATAAATAACAGATTTTAGGTCTCTCTCTCTCTCTTTTTTTTATTGAGTATTACTTTTACTCACTACATTCAAATACAACTACCTATACTCCTTACTTTCTCAAAACTGGCTCGTTGATTTTAAACATATTAATAACCACATGACACAAAAGCTGCAACTAAATAGAGTGGAAATCAAGAGCCCAAAGAGAATCTATCTAATCGGAGCCCATGATGGGGATAGAAAAACATTTATAGCAACATGGATGAAGACAGGAGGCTGGAAAACTTTGGAGATGATAGATCAGATTCTCAGATGCCAAACATTCCCCATCTTTTTACATGTCAATTATGTTTCAAGATCTAATTCATTTCTATGATTACTATTTGCAAATTTAATGCTATGAATACCAGAACTCTAAAAGTATTCAGCTGCTTGTGAAGGACTTTTGGTGCAGAGATAACAGCCTGATCCTGAATGTGGAGAAAACGAAGGAGATCATCGTTGACTTCAGGGAGAATCAGCCTAATCAAGCTCCACTGCTCATCAACAGCTCAGCTGTCGAGGTTGTCAGCAGCACCAAACTCTTTGGGGTGCACATCACAGACACCCTCACCTGGAGTGGAAACACCACCTCACTGGTCAAAAGGGCCAAAAAGCGCATGTACTTCCTGAGTAGGATGAGGAGAGACCACCTGCCCCTACCCATCCCCATGAATTTCTACAGAAGCACAATAGAGAGCGTTCTGACCAGCTGTCTCGCTGTGTGCTGAAGCCTCCCCACCACACAGTGAGACACGCAGCCGTCTCATTGTGTGAAGGGGAGGCTGCAGCGCCTTAGACTGGAAGAACGTGAGAAGAGTGGTGAGAACAGCAGAGAAAATCGTTGGGGCTCCTCTTCCCTCAATTTAAGATATTTCATCCCAGCGCTGTGTGTCCCGAGCCCGTTACATCATCAATGATCCCTCACACCCCCACCATGGACTGTTCTCCTTGCTGCCCTCTGGGAAGAGGCCTTGCAGCATTCGTTGCAGGTCCAGCAGATTCCGAAACAGCTTCTTCCCCTCCGCCATCAGAACGCTGAACTGTTAAAAAAAACCCTAAATCAAGTCACAGACTCTGCATCTCACTGATAAGCAAACCAAAACGCTACATATTTGCACCATACATATTTAAATCTCTGAACATCCATATCAATGCTTTTTTTTGCACCATGTTTTTTCTCCCACACTGTTTACATTTGAGCACTGCTGCAAATTTAGTTTATTACAAAACTAGACCTGGTAAGGATTTTTCTTAATTTTCCTCTACCAACTCTTAGCAAAAGTGGAAAATTAACATGTTTTTTTTTTTTTTTTTTTTTTTTAGTTTTTTTACACATAACTTTTTTTTGTTTGTTTTTAAAAGTTATTCTGTATAAATTAAGGAAAACACTTCTAATTTTTGTGCTTAAGCATGATAAAGAACCTGTTCATTTTACTTTGATGTAATTAAAGGAGCTTAGTTACTGCCTCTACTATTACTGGGGTCGTTTTTTTCAAACAGATAAGGTGTACTTTACTTAAGAATGTGAGTACTTTTCACACCTCTGCTTTTATGCTCACATTTAAATATTTGGACATAAAAATGTGTTTCCTACAAGAAAACATCTTTCTTATATGTGAATAACGTTGTTTTTCCATAATGCTTTGATAGTTGCATTCGTGATTTTGTTGAACTCAAACAGAGGCACAGCTAATTCTAGAAACAGTCTAGAAACAGTCTCTTTTTGTGAGCCTACATCGAGCCAATCAAGAAAAGTTTGAAAATCTAAACTCTCCTTAAACATTAAACCTTTCGTCGAATTTAAGGTCAGACAGAGGGAAACGGGTATAGTGGCTTTTTACAGCGTAGGTAAATCTCTGATTTGATATAGGCTACTATGGGTGGAAGTATTGTTTAAGAGTTTTTTTTTTATTATTATTACAGCACCTTTTCATAAACACAGGTGTTTGTAGAGGCCACAGTTTTAATTCTCTGTAGCAAAAGAAACTATAATTTTGAAGGTTTTGGACGTCCTGATAATGACGAAACACAGTAAATACAAACTATTTTTTTTTCTGTGAAACCAATTTAGTTTAATTGAATTGAATTGAATTGAATTAGTTGAGTTTTATTTTAAAACCAAAGCTACTGTAGCTTTAAGGAAATCACCCGGAAGAGCATCATGCTAGCCGGCGTTGCTGTGCTTTCTCTTCCGGTCTGACCTCGGAGTTGTTGGGAGCGTGGATTTTTTCATCTAGGCTCACCATCTTACCAAAATGAGTGTCCCGGCGTTTATCGATATAACCGAAGAAGATCAGGTGTGACAAATGAGAACGAAGGACATTAGAATCGAGTTTGTTAATGTAGCTGTTGAATTAAAGCGAAGGTTTCAGATAACGTAGCTCCTAGCTAAATACGATGCTAACGTCATGTTTAGCAGCTGGCAGATAAATGTTAGCTGTGCGTCTGTGTTGAAGAAAAACAAAAGATATATAACGTTTAAGTGCTTTTTATGACGCGTCATTGGGTTTTGTTACTATAGATTAAAAGTAAATGGTTTTCCAAGAACTATCGCCGGACAACTAAATAATAATGCTACCTGCCTTGTTTTATATTATACATTTAACAAAGGAGATATCATGCATGCTTTCTTACCATATGTGGTTTTTTGAAGCCAATAAAGATTTTTTAAAATCTTTAATCACACGTAAGAACTTGTATATTCTTTAAAGTATATTTGGGGGGGAAAGAAAAAAAACGAATAGGATGCAAGTATATATATTGGACATAAGAAACCTGAATACTACGTTTTATATAAACAAACAGTTGATACATCTGAAACAAAGATTATTTTTAAAAACTGAATGGTTTCAGTATTTTGGTTTCGGAAAGCTTTAATAGATTGACCAGATGTTTATCAAATACTTGGGGGAAAAAAAATTAAACTCTGCAATGAAAAGCATTTTTATTTTTGACTGTTGTTTTGCAGGCTTCAGAGCTGAGGGCCTACATCAAATCCAAAGGAGCAGATATCTCAGAAGAGAACGCTGAAGGTGGACTTCATGTTGATTTGGCTCAGATCATTGAGGCCTGTGACGTCTGTCTGAAAGATGATGATAAAGGTCGGTGATGAAGAACATATCTGTATTTTACATATAGATTCTGAGGTTTTAAATGGAAACCAGTAGACATACTGGTAATCTCATTTAAGCTATTAGTTTATGTTTATTTCACTATTTAATTAAAAGAGAAATACATTTCTGCAGTAAAATCATTAACCTTTCTGCTGTTTGTAGATGTCGAGAGCGTCATGAACAGCATTGTATCTTTGCTGTTGATCCTGGAGCCCGAGAAGCAAGAAGCTCTCATCGAAAATCTCTGTGAAAAGCTGGTCAAGTTCCGGGAAGGAGAGCGACCCTCCCTTAGGCTGCAGCTGTGAGTCCTTAAAAAAAATGCAAATTTACATAAACTAAAAGGAAAAAATGAGTGTAAACATTTAATAAAACTATTTTACAGGCTGAGCAACTTGTTCCACGGCATGGACGAGAACACTCCAGTGAGATACACGGTCTTCTGCAGCCTCGTCAAGGTGGCTGCAACCTGTAATGCCATTGCTTTCATCCCCACCGACCTTGATCAGGTATTTCTCCAATGCCCATCCTAAAAGCCATTTCTGTATAAAATCTTTATTTCTTTGGTAAACTGATTTTCATATGTGCTTGTTAGGTACGTAAGTGGATTATTGACTGGAACCTGAACACAGAAAAGAAGCACACACTTCTGAGACTAGTGTATGAAGCTTTGGTGGACTGCAAAAAAAGGTAACTGCACACAGTTTTAATAATGCAAAGCTGTCAAACACATCTTGCTGTATGATATCTGGGGAAAAAAAAGCTTCTAAAACTGTATAGCACGTAGAAAGCATTATTACATACAAAGTGGTTTAATGTTACGTTTAATCAAATTACTGTTACTCATTAATTCCTATGCCTATGTTGAACTGTTTCAGGTTAATTTTAATTTCTCATGTCCCGTTTTGCAGTGAAGCTGCTGCAAAGGTGATGGTCGAGCTGCTGGGAAGCTACACAGAAGACAATGCTTCACAAGCACGTGTTGATGCCCACAGGTACGTTATTAAAAACTCGTTTTAGCATTTGTTTGAATGTGAAACTCGAAAAGAGTCCCTCTTTCAAGCTGCCTTGCATCCCTTCCAGGTGTATCGTTCGTGCTCTTAAAGACCCCAACACCTTCCTGTTTGACCACCTGCTGATCCTGAAACCTGTCCGCTTTTTGGAGGGTGAGCTCATCCATGATGTAAGTGCTGAAACACTCACTGTATAGATAAATATAGGCAGCAAATTGTCAAGATGTAGATAATTTGTAATAAAACACACACATCCGATTATACTAATTTATTAAATCTCACCTTTTTTAAGATTTAAGTTAGCACATCTCTCCATGTCTTTTAAATCTCATCCAATGTTTGCCAGTAGTATTTAAATTTTACCTGAGCAGACAAGATGGCTTTATCTGTGGGTTTTTCCAAACATCTGCTGATGATAATGTTGATACTTCAGCTTATAATATTGAATCCAAAAGACATAAAATGACCTCAGAGTTTGTATGAGTCCAATATTCATCTGGTCGATTGTTTCGGTCAACATTATGTCGTTGTTTTTTCTCCCATCTGCCTTTCCAGCTGTTGACCATCTTTGTGAGCGCGAAGCTCGCAGCATATGTCAAATTCTACCAGAGCAACAAAGACTTTATTGATTCTCTTGGTAAGTACCCGTATTTGTACCAACGTAAATAAAAACTGCTGAGTGAATAAGAAAGATATTGCCTACAGGTTTTGTGTTTGTAGGTTTTCGCTTATACAGAACAAGAATGTTTTTGTCAGCAGTATTTGTTTTGTTGTTTCATTAACTACATAAAGAATGAGATGAAATTAAAACGTGTGGAGGGTGGACTCTTAAAACAGACGACTTAGAGAGAGGTTTTTGTTCACGACTAGAACCTGGTCCTAAATGGCCTCTCCATTATTACAGGGAAACTCCCTGAGCAGGGAGTAGTTGACTTTGCTTAATGATCCCTGTGTGTTGGTCCTCAGGCCTCTCTCACGAGCAGAACATGTCCAAGATGCGTCTCCTGACATTTATGGGCATGGCAGTGGAATTCAAAGAAATCTCTTTCGACACCATACAGCAGGAGCTGCAGATCGGAGCCGAGGAAGTTGAGGCGTTTGTCATCGATGGTAAATACTTGTCGTTCCAAGTGAATTTTTTTAGCTGAATTCTTGTATTTTATAGTTCACAAACACACAAGACTCCATCTTTTCCCGCATTCTATTGAACTGTCAGAGTCCGACCCAAAGAAGCACCGTACCCTTTTATAGTTGACGCAGATGTAGGTGCAGTACTCGCAAAAATCACAGGGGCAGTGATCAACAGAATGGGCAGAAATGCAGGAAAATTCAAGCAACAGGTTACTTCCCACTTACAAAATAGCCAAACACAGTGTTGTTTCTTTATGAATTTATGATAAAATTATGATTATTAGTGACTATTGAAGAATAATAGATGCTTATGGCAGATACGCAGAAATATACAGTGAAATAAAACTGTAGGGTTACCTGCCACACACAGAGACATGACGATGGGGAAAGCAGCCTGCCGGTAAAGCCCATACGGACCTTTATTTTTATTTTTTATAACGGATATAAAAAAACAACAACCAAATGCATTCTATACTATGGATAGTTGTTTCAGACTTTATTTATGCCGTATGTGATGGAAACAAAAACTAAAGTCCTTGTTTGTACAACAAGCTTGGTCAATAAACTCACCCTTGTTTGACGTTTTCAGTCACTGATGTAACAACCCTGCATTTAACCACACTGTCCCACTGGAACCTGCTGCACTATTTGATCAGTAAAGGAAAACTTGTTCGTGGAGAACAATTTTATATCCTCTCCTTTGGAACAAGGCTGGTGCGCAGTGCATGCCAAGTAAAAAAAAACAGCACTGAGGCTACTCGAGTTTCATGTTCTGGGCCAGGGACGGCATGATTGCGTCAATATTCGCGTGTGCATCCTCGTGCCCTGTTTGACGCGGAGAGTTTAAACCAAGCTTAAGTTGGTGGGGTTTCTCATGGCATCTGCTGCTATTTCTTTTGTCACCGTGAATGGCAGAAACCAAACTTTGGCAGGTGGGCACCAGACATCGCTTCGCGCAATCAGCTTTTTAAGGTTCTGCACAGTGTCTCCTTGACCTGAACATAGTTGATCAGAGGAGTCCAGGATTAATGGAACCTTACTGTTACAGGTTCTCAGATAGGTTAGAAAAATATACAGTTTATGGGATTATTTACATTTTGTTAGGATAGCTAATATGTATATTAAGTCTGTTTGCAATAATACACTGATGTTATTATACCTGCTACAGTTTGTTGTCAGAATCAATTTAATTGTTATCACCTATCATGTTCTTCTTGATTTCCTAAACTTTTGAGCAAAAAGATTGTAAGCATCATGTCTTATTGTGTTTGTTGTTGACGTCAGCCTAGTTCTACCGCAGTCATTGATTAGCTCCGTCCAAACTGTTTAAAAAACAATTAAACGTCCCCTTCAGTGACCCTAAGCCTTTACCTGCATCCAAAAGGCTGATGGGAACTTAGGTTTGGGGCTACTTCTAGTTGGATGATAGGCTTTGCAGGTTAGATACTCTAAAATGTTTGTTGGTTTAATACAGTACTGCATTTCCATGTGTGTTTGTGAGACAGTAATGATAAGAAAAAAAGTTCTTAGTTGTTCTGCTCATTGCATGTTATTCTTCTGACCTCATCGGGTTTCCTTTCTGTAGATAAAGGAAACAAGCCAGTGAATAATCCATACAGTAAATGTTGCCGTCTCTATGATTGGACTTTTCATGTGGTCTAAGTAGAAGCAGATTAGTTTTCTTCCTGTAAATTTACACTCTGTTAAATATAAAAACATATTTTTTTTTATGTCAAACTCATTCTAATCATATTTTATATCAAAACTAGCGGATTATGTAGGCATGTTATTTGTTAGAATCAGCTATAGTAGCAGTATTGTTTTATCTTTTCTGGTTGTTAAGGAGTTGACTCTATATCTACAGGCTTTTCGAACATTAATGTCATAAAACTGTTAAATATTTTCTTTAAGGGTTAGAATTTTGAGCAAAGTCTATTGAAATGAGTTAATTGTTAACTTGGATAAAATATTTATGGGAGAAAAAAAAAAACATTTCTTAAATATTAGTTTCAGTCTTGGTTTTGTCTAAAGTAACAAAAAAACAAACCAAAGAGAAAATCCTACAAGTAAATGATTATTTGAAGCTGAATTAGCTCTGATTATGAGCAAGGATGTGATAGATGGATAAAAGAAAAAAGAAAATGTTTCAGAAATTAAAGACAAGTGATGAACACTACAGTTGGATGTTTCTTTTCTTTAGCTGCCTCTGTGTGAGGAACAATCTTCTATCCTGATCACTAGAATTAAACAGGCTTTATATTATTTTTTATCGATCTACCCTTTGCAAAGGGCCTATTTTCTGTTTCTTGACCTCTTTCCACTTTTCCTCATGTTTCCATTTTTCTTTTTTCTAGCTGTTCGGACCAAAATGGTGTACTGCAAAATTGACCAAACGCAGCAGAAAGTCGTTGTGAGGTAGGTGCCTTCAAATATAGCTTTAATGTTTGGTTAATGGTATGCATACTCATTTGGACAGGTAACTTAAGCATGTGTTGCAAAAGATCCTATGAAGGTAAAACAGACAAGATTGTTATCTGAGCTCTGGGTAGGTATAGGAAGGACAACAGAGTATGGAAAAAATATTTAGATTTCCAGAGTCTATTCCCTGGTTGATTATTTAAAGTCACCTCACTGATTATTACCGTCCATATGACTTAGTTAGACTTACTTAGACTTAGACAGACTTTATTGTCATTTTGTACACAGAGTGTATACAAAAATACATTTTGTCCAGTACAGCTCTCAAGACATTTTCATTTTTAAAGTGCAGCAGTGATAAAATGTAAACATAAGACTGGTATATGATTTACACTGAATGACTGTTCCTTCACCCAGCAATCTGCACCCATCCATCCTTTTGCTTCCTTCAAATGAATACTACTTAGTTTATGTAGCGCCGTCAGTTGTAATCCTTATTACCTTGTTACACTGTCTGATGTTTTTCCAATCTTATAAGGCTGTAAAAGGCCACATTATGCAGGGTGGAATTAATAATCTTTGATCAAATGTAGAATCTTTTTAAAGGGGTTTGTCACATTTGTTTTCAAAAATCTCACCTAAGTTTATCTGTTTTACTTGAGAGAAAACGATCCTTATTTTACAAAGGAGTCATCCATAACGGACTTGACTGGTCTCTGTAATCTACCGCTTTCATAATCATGCGGCTAATATCTTGCTTCACTTGCTTTGTAGTGCTTGTGCATTCCTATTATTTTCTCAGGCATTCTTGGTAACTAACTCACTTCCTCCTGGTTTAAAGGATTGTCAAATAAAATTTACAAGAGAAAAGGATCTATTCTTTCACACACACAAAAGAATAACATGTTGCATAGATATTAGGCTGATCCTCATAAATGTGTTTAAATAAAACCTTTACTTTTTATAATTTTTGTTTCTAAACATAAACAAGGTGTTTACGAAGTTTGGTTTATATTGTGGGAAAAAAAAGGTGTTATAAATGGGTATTCTTTTCTATAATTGAGTCTTTTACTGACATCAGCTGTGTACCTGGAAGGTCGAGCTGGTTTCCTTTATTTATAGCTAAACTTGCTTTTCTGTCTCTCTTCACTCAGCCACAGCACACACCGCACCTTTGGCAAGCAGCAGTGGCAGCAGCTGTACGACACCCTCACCTCTTGGAAGGCCAATCTAGCAACCGTCAAGACCAGTCTGCAAACTTTGTCCCCCTCTGCGTAATCCCAGCATAGACCCTACTCTCCAATCTTCACTGCTTTACAGATTCTCAGGCTGTAAAGATCACTTTTTATATTCATCAATAAAAGAAAAGTGAAGGTGACCAATGAGGGCCTTTTTGTGTTATGTTTATTTAAATTCATTGGTATTAAATACTTTCACTTGTACTAATGGAGGATATTACAGTGTTGAATTGATCTTTTTTTTTTTTTTTTTTGTAACATAATTTCTTTAAACAAAGACATTCAGTGTCATTAATTGGAGCTTCTCTCCTAGCAGTTCTCAGCATCTGGTTCCATTTACAGGAAGGCTTCCCAGTATAGTAGATGAGCTGTGACTGGGGGTGAGAAGTAACCTTCAGCATGAGGGTCACTTTGTCATCTATGACGATACAACAGTTTTCATTTGAACTTAGAGTGACCCTCTGTGCTACGGTCAAAGGCGCATTGCGCTAAAGGCTCTCCTCCTGTTGAAACTATGAAAGATTCAGCTGGGTTGATAGCGAGGGCTCAGCTGCAGGAAGCATGACTCACTGGCTTTAATGCTCATAAAACTTGAATAAATAAAGTATAGACATTGAACAATATTTAGAAATAAAAATTTTCAAGGAACATTTTGCTAATGCACTGGAAATAGTTTCGCTGTTATTCTTAAACTACTTCAATCCGGGAAAACATAAAGAATTTAACATTTATGTATCCAGAAACATTAGTGTAATGGTATGAATGTTCCATATTGTCACTGTGGGGGAAAAAAAAACGTGGTTATTACTCATTAATGGTTTTATTTATACAACCATATGCTGTGTGAACAGCATAAATTATCAGTTGAACTATATTTTATCATTTCTTAATAGTTAAAGGGATAAAAACAGCGACTACATTTGAAATTTAAGGTTAAAAACGCATTGCATGCAACTTTGGCTCTTAAAAGATGGGCAAGAATTAGCTGTAATATTGTCTTTGTGCAACTTTGAGAATGATCAGCTATTGAGGTCATCCTGTTGGTTTGCAATGAAAATGGCTACAGAGACTTAAATATGTAAATTTAGTTGCCTTACAATGAGTCACCAAGCAAATATTTTTTTTTCTCTGTGGTACTACACCATAAAAGATAACCCATTGTTTATTTTTCTGCAGAGTTCGAACATAACTCATGGTTTCGTTTGACTGACAGAATAAAACAAGACTTGTCTGTAAACATTTAATAAGAGGTCATAAAAACAAAACTCTTAAATATGGTTAATACATTAAATGGTCTGAAAAATACAGAAGCAGTTTGAAAATTTCTTAAGTACAATAATCCATGTGCAGGTGGTATCAGACATGTTAATTTCATGATTCATGGTCTGGGGATTAAATGGGGGCGTAAAGGGTTTTTTCAGTTTTCTTACTGGGTGGATGATGAAATCAATGCAGATTACTGGCATTATATTAAGCTCTTCCATTTGGCAAGTTTCCTTCACATTTAAACATGTAACTTCAACTATGCAGACCTGTGTCGGACCTCTTCAAATTCTTTACAGATTTGAAATCTTTAGATTTTTAATCAGGGTTCTGAAATTTTAGAGAAATTAAGCCATGTACAACAATGTAGTCTTTAATTTTGCTATCGCAGCAGAGGTCTGCTTAACCTCACAGCACACTTCTGTTCAGTTTTACAGGGCAGCATCTCCAGCTCTTATCAGGGGAGTAAATCCCAAAACACATTCTTTGTAGCGCAACCTTATCACAGCCACCTGCAAGGAAGGGCAGAAAGGAACTAAATATTCTAGCTCAAATTTAAGTTTGGTTTTAGTTTCTGTAATTCTAAAAATCAAATTGTATCACTACTGTGATGTTTATTTTGCTGCGGTTTAAATGGTTGAGTTGTTTTCTCAAATTTAAAAAAGTTTTAAAGCCTCTGTTAACTTATCTGGTAAGAGCAGTGCAAGTCTTATCACAGTCAGATAAAGACATTTCTGCTTAATTGGCTCCTGTTTGCTCAGCGCTGAGGTTATCTGCAGAGAAAAGTCAGCGCTGTACTCATAAAGTCAAATTTGCACTCTTCATATTTTTAGTATCCTGACTGATAATCACTAGATTTACTGCAGTAAATAATTAAGTCTTTAGACTGTCACCACTAATTATTAAGCAGTCAATCAAAACGTATTGTCTGTTTTGTAATGACTTGTCATTTTTTAACATTTGACTTTAGATGCATCAACAATCTTCTAGGCAGATGTTAGAGAAGCGGATAATTATAGGGGATTTTAAATCATCACCAACCACGGGGCTGATAGCTGCTGTTGCAATCAATTCTTAGGTAAAAATCGTTTACATCAAATCAAAATGGAGACAATATAACTACATGGAGGGTTTAATTCTTCACGTTTATCCCTTATAACTTATGTTAAGCATGATTTAAAGTGTTCTGTGTGGAAAGCATAGCTGTAGTAGTTACATTTTCCCAAACAAAGATCTGGAAATACCGAGAGAGGGGTAGATAAAGTGCTTTTTACGAGACTTGGAGGATCCCAAAGGGCAGTTTGTGTTTGAGCATAAAAAGAGCCTGAAAAAGTTTGGGTGTTCCAGAAAGGGTCATGCATTCATCATTCTGAAGGCTCACATGGTAAGGCGACTCCTTTACATGTAGAATAATTGCACTGGTTGTAGGTCAGAGATGTAAGCGCAAGGATATGTTAGCAACAATAACTCCTACAGATGAAAGGAAAATGGGGAAAAAAACAATTACCGGTAGTTGGAAACAATGGTTCGGTTTCAAAGTACTCATTTCTCTATGCTGCATCCTTTCAAAGTCTTACATTCGGAGTATATTAAATACAATTCAGTTCATTTATATTGCAGCAATTGATGACAACACGTCATCTCAAAGCTTTTTTAGAGAGATAATTCAACCAGATCATACAGTCAGATTAGTTCAACATTTTCTATCTAAGGAAAACCAGCTATTTGCATTAATAGCAATCCCTCCGACCATGCTTGGAGCGACCATGGAGAGGAAAAACTCCTTTTAAACATCAACAAACCTCCAGCAGAACCAGGCTCGGTGTGAGCGGCCATCTGCCGAGACCGACTGGGGTTCAAGGACATAGACGAGACATACTGAAGTTAAGACACAGCAAAGCAGACAGGTTTTGACTGAGCTCCAATGTCAGAGGATGAAAGAGAGCACATACATGTAGATACAGTAATAGAAACAGCTCTGCACTAAACAAAAGGCCAAGCTCCAACATCTATAATTAAAGGCATTGATGGCAGCAGCACAGCTGATATTTCTGTTCCTGATTGGCAGAGACAACCAAATGAAACTACTATGATGAGAAAAAAACATGAAGTTAGAGGTTCAACACCCTAATACTGCAGAATGGGAGAACAGGGATACAATGAAGCAGAATGGTCCCTATGTCCTCCAGCAGTCTAAGCTTATAGCAGCGAAACTATACAGATAGCTCAGGATAACCTGAGCCACTCTATAAGTTTTATCAAAAAGGAAAGTTTTAAGCCTAGAACTATATGTAGAGTGGGTGTTGCTTCAAAGTCTAAAGCTTCTGGTTGAAAATGTAAATAAAAAAATAATTTAATTTACCTTCAGGATAAATAATGTATTTTTGAATTGAATAAATCCAACATTGTCCACAATTATTCAGTGGTGTTGCGCTGATGCTTTTTTTCGGCCCCGATACCGATACCCGATACCTGGCTGTGCAGTATCGGCCGGTACTGATACCATACAGATACCATCTGTTTGAAATTGATGTGTGTGTGTGTATATATGAAGAACTGCATACTACTTGGATGTAAAATAATTGTCATCATGACCTTGTCAAGCTGCTGCCTACCTTTGTAAAGCAGGAAAAACACTAATACAAAGTGAATCCAGTAGAACTTTTTTATTGCCTACTTGGAATGGGTGACAATAGTTGAATAAACTTTTGCTCTCAAAATGTTATTGGTGACCTATTTCTCGTTACTCGCCTATACAGATACCACCATTTTAGTGCTGGAACGGGGCCCTGCCTGATACTGGTATCGGGTACATCGGTGCAACACTACCAAAATAAAATTATATTTTAGTTTATATTTTCAAAAACTTGTCCCCAGTGGTGGAACTGTTAGTTAAACTGAAAATATCTTTAAAGTCATAGGGAAGCGGCTGTTCCAACGGATACAGATTGGAATTCTCGCGAGTAGCGCCCGACTTTACATGAGTGAATAAAGGGAATGTGATTGGTCTATTATCAAAGGGGCGGGATTGTTGTGGCAGAAGGATTGCAAGCAATTTTAGTTGTGGCTGGTGTCTTGGATGCATCTTGCTGGCCAGTTAGCAACTTAGACTAGTAGGTTCCCAATGGGAAATTACATTGGGACCAAGTAGCACTTAGAAATGACACTGTCAAGGAGCGCTATGAACAGTGGAAACATGCAAGAGGAGGAGAGTTTAGTGTTGGAAGTCGTGGATGAGTTTCCTCCATCATTCATTTTTTATTTAGAGGGGGAAAGTGGGGACGAGTTTGTTGTGGAAGAGGACGCCAGGGCGGCAAAAGCTTAAATTGGTGTAGAAGGCTGACAGCCGTACATGTTTGAGCCCTTGCCTCACAACGCTGCCAGTTCTGTTAGCTCTATGCCTGCTGAAGACACAGACGTCCATCCCCGTGAACTCTGGGATGTAACTCAATGGTAAAGTAAATTATTCTTATTTCAACCGTTGCATATATTAGCTGCGACATATGAATCAAGATGCTATGACCGAATCAAATTGATTGACAGATGACCGTTGATATATGATTGGCCGAATTTAGTTGTACAAGCTGACATATAACTAACTGGCCTGCATAAGATCATGAAAAAACCCCATAACTTTTGGGACAATATAGTCTGATAAAGAGTACATTTATATAAATGTTTAAGCCAGAATTATTTGAAACGTAAATATGACTTCCCTATGACTTTAAGTTAAATCTAAATTATTATTTCTTTTAACTTGATCAGAGTTCCTATGAACTTCTCATTAGTAATTGGTTTCTTTTGTGTTTATCATGTGTATAAATATTTATATTTGCATTGTGGTGCTGCTTACAGAAACCTCACTGTAACAGGTACATTATTATTTTTGTAGACTACATTATCAAACTCCTACGACTTTTTACACTTTTTTTTTTCTTTTTTACAACCAAGATTAAAGCAGGAGTTTGTGATTAAAGGCCTAAACATGTTTTGTCACAGGGTGGTTTTTATCATGAGGCTCTGAGTCACATCACATCTTAATCCATCTTATTCAACACCCTTCAGTCCCAGGAGCTTTTCCAACTTGGATGAATTTCTGCTGCCATCTAGCGTCCACTGTGTGTAAGTGTAATCCAGGTAAAGGTAATCGATTGATCAAGCCTTACAGGTGGAAGTTTAGGAGGAGCTACGGGAACCTGCTCAGCCGGGAGGACGCCAAAGTTCCTGCTGTTTAGCTCCTGATCCAGTTTCACCATAAACCGCTGTGTTTATCTACAGTTAACGAGTCGGAATCCAATTCTAAACAGCAAAGAGAAAAAACAACTATAGATCTAAGCGTTAAAATCAGAAGATCCCTGTTTATCCGCGTTAGAAACGCTCCGGGCCACCAGCCGCTCTCTGATAACTTTCGCTTCGTTGTTATTGAACTCTGGACATTATTTTGCGCTGCGTTAGTTTACAATGATATATAATGTAGGGATCCAGCATTAGAAGAAGAAAATTGTTCTGTTTTTTTAACAGTTTAAAAGGCAGCCAGTTTGCGGGTTTCTAGTTAAACCTACCATGTTATTTAGACTGTTTGTTCTCCTGCTGTGGGGCGCTGGACAGATGGCATCGGCAAAGACGTTCATTTCCCAACAAGAACCATCAGAAGACAAAGAAAGTAAGATGTGACCGAGGCTACTACCAGTACTGTTTATATGCGCTCCCTGTTCAACCTGTTTGCTTCTGATTACAGTATTTCTAGGGGAGACTGACGCCAATGTGTTCCTGGGTCGCCACTTGCTGCTCAATAAGTTTGACTTTGAAATGTTTGTTCCTGGGAACCTGGAGAGGGAGTGTATAGAAGAAGTGTGCAACTACGAGGAAGCAAGGGAAGTCTTTGAAGACGATCAGCAAACAGTTAAGTCTTCCTGCTCTGAATATAGTTGATCACAATGGCTCTTTGAGCAGAGTTTCTGATTGTTTTTTTTTGTTTGTTTTTTTTATTTATAGGTTGACTTTTGGAAGGAATACACAAAAAGTAAGAGACTAATCAACTAATGTGAAAAATAATCTTGGATATTATTATGTTACTGGCTGTAAGATGGGGGCCATGGCCACCTTTAGCCAATCATTGGCCACCCCTACCATTTTCCCCCTCTAAATACAGCAATAATACTCTCAAGTGGAATATTCAAAACATTTTCATTTTTTGTGGTTAATTATACACATCAATTTACTAACATCAAACATAAGTATATAATTAAGGCTCCTTTCAGAACTAGATTTTGTGTTATATGGGGTAAAGAGAAAATGTGTCTCTGAAATTCATCTGGGAGTCTTCAGTAAAATCATACATAAATAACATCCACTATACCTCGTATTTAGAAAGAACGGATGTTTAAATATGTTGTTAGCAAAGACTATAAGAAAGTATAGTTTGTCTTTATTTCAAAAATATGGATGTTTTGCTTGTTACTTTTCCTGTTGGAGCAGTGTAGATTGACCCTGAGGTTCTGGCGCCTATCCACTTTCAGCCACCCCTCAGTGTATATTGGTTATTGCCTGGCCATCCTTATAAAGATTTTCTGGCTACGCCTCTGCTGTAACTAAATGCTGGATCTAGGGTTGCAGCTAAAGATTATTTTGCAAATTAATCTGTCAATTTTTTTGACTAATCTAATAGTAATCAGATAGCCCAAGGTTTCTTACAAAAGATTTTTTACGAAATTAAACCAGGTGAAACTAAAACATTTCCACTCGAGGAGTTCTGGGTAGAGTGTAGTGATGGATGAAAAACTTTTTTTTATCTTAATGCAAAATGTGT